CAACTAGTGTTCACAAAGTTTTGTTCCACTATTTTAGGGTTAGGCCTAATTTTATCATTTGTATTTGAATTTCTTGCAATATACCCAGAAGACGAGCTATTGTTTATGATTACAGCGTTTTATTTCTTTAAACGAGGTTTTAAATTTAGGCCTAACTAAAATAAAAGCAATTGTCTTCAGTTGATCCATAAAGATAACAAATCTACTAAGGGAGTAACATATGTTTAATCTATGGTAAGTTATAGCCTGACCTACCATACAGAGTTCATGATATTTGAAGCCACTGTGGCAGCAGCAGCAATGGCCCATCCTTTGTTAATGGTCTGAGGTAGGGTTCACTGGGACCCTCCATCAAAAAAGAGGACAATTATGACTCGCGGAACTTAGGCCTACCTTGGAGGGGGGGGGTCACCTTACTTTTTTTTAAATTTAGAATTACTTTTATGTGTTTTAAGGGCTTTTAAAAAAGTGTTTAGACTGTTTTAGAAAGGTACTAGAACTTTCAACATTTTGGAATGTTTTTAAACTGAATATTGTCTGACAATTCCTATAAACATAGCCTAGGCTATATTGTAAGCTTTTGAAATTTTAAACTAGAATTTTCCATTTGCTTGCCAATTAATTTTTATCACTAAAATATTTGCTTTTAATTTTCATTCAGGCAATACAAAACAAAGGCAATACTATGCTACTACTGAGGGGAATACTATGCGTTCAGGAATAAAATTTTGTTTTTGTATAAATCCCGGACAATTTAAGGTTTTGCTCAAATTCCCCCACCGACGTTGTTTAAGTAGGTAAGTTACCCAAAAAGAGGACGAGTCCGGCAAAATGAGGATGTCTGCGATCCCTAGTCTGAGGGTTGGATCGTTTTGTTTCAGTGTCACGGATGTGAGCTTACTATTTAGGCTAATAGATATAATTGTTCCTCAGGCAAACGTTTATTTAGACGGCATTTTGGACTGAATCAGGGTAGACTTCCGTATCTGTCAAAAACAACCGAATTAAAATATTGATCGATATATCAAATGAAAACCGAATATCGGTCGATATATCGAACAAAACAATTGAATACCAGTAATCGATATTTTTATTCAGTTATTTTTGACAACAAATAAGTTACGGAAGTCTACCCCTGAATCAAGTAAATTCTTCAAAAAACCTGCAATGATAAAATTGTGTTGTGGAGTGGTGTTAAAAGAAATTAATAAAAGTTAAGGCCTGACATAATTTTTTGATAAAGGTTTGTAGTACCACTAACTTACTAACTTATCTGTTACTTTTACCAGACTCAGGGTGAAAACATTATTGGGCCTAGGGTTGCCAAAATGCTAAATCCGGCCCAGTGCATAATTTCCCAAACTTAGTGTCTACTTCAGGTTCAGAAAACTCCTTTTGGCTCAAGCCAACTCCTATGTCGTTGCCCAACACTTGTTGGCTTAGACTGTGTCAAATAAAATTTAAAAGTAATAAAACTAATAAAAAAATAACATTCTTGTTTAACCAATGAATAGAAACTGAACTTCATTTCAAGGAACTGAGCAAAACAAAAGCTAAGCATCCAAAGAAGCTGCTTAAGCAAAATAGCCAAACGACATTCAAATATTAAGAAAGCTTTTTTATGGTGAATTTAATGCCAGCATAGAACTAATAAATAAACAAATACAAGTTACAATAAAATAGTCAAAAGACTTAAAGTTGTTAAAGTTAGGAGTTGATGCTACTCACTACACACACAGCCAATAACTTAAAAGTAAGTTAATATCAGACCAAAAAAATTTTCTACCTAGGGTTAAGCCATTAGTTATTTCTCTTAATTTTTAAAATCTTATAGATTGTGGTAGAATTACCTTAAACACCTAAGTTAGCCTAACACGAAACTTTCTTACACAACCAAGAAATTTTATAATAATTTTACACACAGTGACAATATTATTGACAGTTTGAGTTTGACACTGACAGTTTAGTACTTACTTGACTTGGTTTTATTTTTTTTAATAATCTAGTTTGCTTTCAAAGGCTAGATCGATTTAGCAACCATGCAGCTACTCTTTTATATTACATAACAGGTAGAAACATTACATTTGCCCCCATGTTTATCCCCCGGTTCAAAGAAGTTACTTTTATTTTTATTTTTACACTGATGCAATCATAGGTTTGGTGGATTTGATTCATGGCAATTTCCCGTCCAAAAAATCATCCGTCCAAAATCGCGATTTTGACCTTATTCACTGCGTTTGCATTTTCTTGAGGTGCTTGCTTTTATTTTGTCTACTACCAGTGGTGACTCCAAAGAGATTGAGGTTATAGGGACTAAAGCCAGCCCCATTTGGAGCCTGTAAATAAATTATACATTGGCCCTACATTTCTTCCTAAAAACGTATCGGGCCTTTATACACATTTTTAGAGGTCCTAGAAAAGCCACTGCTACCTAACCACTAACGTTATGCATCTTAGAAGGAAATAAACTGCACTGAAGTGGTTTTAGAGGTAAAACCAAACCCAATTATTGACAAACAAAATTCGATCGGCACACTGAAGACTGATGTTTTTTTGTTGATTACGTGATCAGTGCACATTGAGGTGGGTGACTAGCCGCGTCCTCGGCCACCGTAGTGTACTTATACCAGCACGGCCACCTCTAACTCAGGCTGCGGCCTGGTAGAATTGGCAACGTTGCAAGTAGTGTTGTCTAGCGCCAGACGTCCCATAAAATAGCATGACAGACAGGTGACACCATTTCATTCATTCGCGTATTATTCATTTTAAATTAAATTTATGAACATAAATTTATTAAAAGATTGAAAATAAAACATAGAATTGAAAACCAAAACAATATTTAAATTAAAAATCTATTTTGTACATTATTTTAAGCGGAGTTAATATTTTCATAGCCCAGCAACTAAGCTTTCGTATTTAAAAAAATACACAAATACCATTATAGCTGCATCCAAACAAAACAGCTGTTACACTGTTACACTGTAACACTACTTGCGATGTTGCTACTTCGAAGGCCGCGGCTAAAGGTGGCCGTGGTTGCAGGATGCATACCTAATAAAAATTGTGAAAAAATTGTACTACAACCTTGGCTCTCATATAACCAAATATTTATCTGTGAACTTCTACAGCGCGGATCGAGCAGGCACCATGTCCGTTTCCAAACGATTGGTTCATTTTGACCTCGCTGTAACCTATTGTGGTGTAACAGGATTCCATTTTATTCAGTTTATTTTATAATTCTTGCACCTGTCCAAGTAGCAAAAATTGTTGGCAAATCGTTGGCCTAACGTTTCTGTCGAAGGTTATGGCCAACGGTATGTTTTGGCACTCTTACGGTTGGCCAACCAACCAATTTTTAACGCGAAGGGCCATCACATGGGGCCTAAACATAAAAACACAAAATAATAAAGATTAAATATGAAAAGCATAATATTATTAGTTGAGTAAATTGATTAAATAGTTTCATTAAAAAAACTATAATACAATTTTTTGTCCAGACGGGTCTCGAACCTGGTAACTTTGGCTTTATGACCCATTAACCTTATCTCTGAGCTATCCGTGCTTGTTGATAATGATAATGAGATGATAGCAAGATACAGTAATAATAGAATTTTTAATAAAAGTCGTTGCATAAGCAAGTTTCCTTTGTACCTTTACTTCTCTGTTTGTACTGCAATGACACAGCGACACAGCTCACTCACATGTGATCATGTAGTCCGCTCGCTCTCTCTTTTGCGACACCCTACACTACCTAAGTTTAAGTTTGTTTAACTCGACTTATATGAACAACAATAATATAAGCAAGACTTTAAGGGCCGCTTTCCCCAACGCCGCTTAAGCTAGATGTATAGCTTAAGTAACAGCTTAAGCTCAAAGAAACACAAAATGTTATTTAAACCGCAGGTGAATCTGGAAAGTTTCAAACATATTGCAACATGGTAGCATTGATGTAAGACCAATAAATAACTTATGACCAGACATTCTGAGTTTTGTACTTCTTTGGTTTGTTACATGTAAATATTGAGGTATCCGCTGAAATAATTAAACAAATAAACTGAACTGTTTGGAACCGCTTTACTTCCCGGGTTTGGAGGGGATTGAGAACAAATGCGTTCGATTCTTTATTTCATCTGCACTTTTATGGGTATACTACAATACGAGTTCATAATTTTTTCAAACTATGCTGGTCAACCTGTCACGCCGATAATCGTCTGTCAGACTGTCACTAGGGATGAGAATATCAGTGACTTTAAAATATCACTCGGAACTGTGACTGTGACAAAGAAATATCGGTTAAAAATATCGGTGACTAGTCACAGCGATATATGCTACGGTGGCGCTCCGTGCGGTGATACTCAAAACTACGAAACTGTGACGATGCCATTGGCGTGCATCACTCGAACGGCTAACCAGCTACTTGTGACTGCGACTGTGACTGCTCCAAACCCAAACCCCGAATGACTGCTACTGTGATCTCGCGCTGTTTACGATATAGGGTGCAAAGCCAAGCCCGCTCAAAGTACAGTAGTTCGCTCAAAATCAGAAGGATACAGAGAGCAGCACTTACAAGGACGGCGGATACAGCCCAGTCACAGCGCTTCTACAGTCGATATTTTGAACTAAAAGCCTGCGACTGGGGAACAGAGACTGTGACTCGCTCAGTCACAGCGCTGCTCGCGCTTCTACAGTCGATATTTTGAACTAAAAAGCTGCGACTGCGACTGCAAATGGTGAACAGAGACTGTGACTCCGGTAGCTGCTACTTTTGATATCGTGTCACAGACTGTGACTGCGACTTAAAAATATCGGTGACAAAATCACAGTCTGTGATTTATCGCTCATCCCTAACTGTCACTGTCAGTATCCCATCGGAAGATAAAGATGTCAGAATTTTAGTTTTTTAGAGCAGAAAGCAGGAGCAGAAAGATAAATATTATCTAGTTTATCTTCTATAAATTATTAAGTTTATTGTTTTGTTGACGACAGTTTTTGACGTATAATATATTCTGATTAGTGATTGGAAGATATAACTTGAAAATATAACGCATTTTCATATGAATCAGTAACCAAGTTGAAAATGTCAGGATTTATGAGTCAAATGAGTAGATGTTCTACTGGAGGTAGAAGATCAGAGTAAGTAATTATTAAACACTACAGCATAGTCTGACTATTTACGTAATAGTATTTCATTATCTTGTTAAAGAAAACAAATACCCTTCAACTAACAGTGTTTTCTAAGGGCTGACATTTTCCTACTAACAGTCTGTAAGCTAGGCCAAGGTAGGCCTAGGCTACATTTTCCTTTAGCCCCGTGAATTTAAGCTATTTTAGGCATTTCTTGGGTAGACTTCCGTATCTGTTGGCAGAAACAACCGAATGAAAATATTGATTATTCGATTGTTTCATTCGATATATCGTTTGGTTTGTTGGGTTAGGTTAAAACCTTACCTAACTAACCAAAAGACATATCGAACAATCAATATATCGATCGATATTTTCATTCGGTTGTTTGTGCCAACAGATTCGGAAGTCTACCCCATTTCTTAGCATAGGCCTACCTTAAGTCCTAATATCTGCAGATTTGTACCTACAGTAAGCCAAGCCTAGGTAGGTTTATGAAGGACTAAATTTTTAATCAATGTTTATAAGTTATTGAAAAAATATTTCATCCGTTAATGTAGGCCTAATTGTAGATTCTCTGTAGAACTACTCAATAGGAGGAATCTAACACAGGTCAATGTTGGATTTAGGCTGTTAATGAAAATGTTATGTTTCACAATATGTCATCATTCTTTTTTCAGAGACACAATGGATGATGACACAGATGATAAAGATGATACAAAACGGTATGTACCCTAACAGGAGTCAGGAATTACTGACTCCTGAAATATCTAAGTTAGGCCCTACCTATTTTATAAAATTGGGGTTAACTTACTTACTTCTTTGAGATCTTGTGGTACAACTTCCACCCCCTCCCAATAGCCCTATTTCCATTTTGTCTGGCTTAAATTTATGGAAATAAATGTTTAATTGACTAATTGACTTAAAAATTGAAGGACCAATTAATTGAATTTGACGAAGGGGTGTAATTGAATCATGCACTAAAATGTAGGTATAGATGCCTTAACCCATTCACTTATGATTTTTTTTTTACCCGCCTAGGCCAAAACAAACGAATTTGTTGTGGCTAGTTTCATTCATTTCTGATTTAATTTTTTTTCAGGCAACATTTACTATTTATATGCAAGATATTATTATTTTCTTATTCAAAATTAAATGTAGATTCAAAATATATAAATATTTCCCAAAAAAATATAACTATAATTTTTTATTATACCATATAAAAATAAAATAAAAAAATTAAAAAATTAAAAAAAACTTTTTTATTGGTAATTTTTAGCTACATAGGGCTCATATATGTTTTGGAACTAGTCTATAATACTGTATGACACTTATAAAAACTCACCAAATGTCAAGCAAAGTTCATTTTGGTGTGGTATGCCTTGAAACACTCTGGCATGTGAAGTGCGACAAGGCAGAGCTCACACTCCCATCGGCTGTCACTGCGCTTTCCCTGGGCACTACACACCTTACATCTTCTTGAAGGTGTTTGTTTGACTTCATTTGGAGGAATAGGCCTAGGAAAATGTCCCCAAGTTGCTGCCTGGAGCCTCAGAGGTGTTTCTGAGTTGGATGATCGTCCTCTTCGATTGTACGGTGGCAGTTGTCGCGACTCAAACATTTGCTTGACAAACCTCTCCTTGAACTCACTAAACCCCAATTTTTTTCTGGTTAATTTTTTGAACACTACATAAGAGTTAAAAAGGCCAATGTCCATTATGTAAAAGAAGATCTTCTTGTATCCCTTAGCATACCTCCTCATACTAGGAAACGACGCTAATTGCTGATCCTCGCGGTCAATTCCACCCATTGAACGATTATAGTAGATCACTGGTTCTGGCTTTGTTATAATTTCTTGGGTAACTCTGTCTTTCTTGCCAGTTGATCTTTTGTCAGCTTTTTGATGAAAGGTAGACAAAATGCAAACTTGCTTCTTGTCCTGCCACCTTACTGCTAACATATCGTGGCTATAGGCTGTCTCGTAGTCGCCCAACTTAAGTTTACCCTCTTTGAAGCTCTCTGGCATGTTTGATCTCCACCAGTTAGCTGTTCCAATTACATTGAAACCTATTTGCTTAAGTCTATAGAAGAGAAGAGGTGAGGAGTACCAATTATCAATTGTCAGAGTATGTCCTTTTCCTGCCAAATCTTTTGTCATTTCAACGACTATCGCCTCACTCGTTAACAGCTTTTCCTCCTGTGTAGAATCCCCACTTCCTTCTTCAACCGGTACATTTTCTTTGACTTCAGCTCCAGTATAGATCTTAAATTTAGAACAATAACCACTTCCAGATTCACAACACTTGTAAAACTTTATGCCAAATCTGGCTCTCTTCTTGGGATTAAATTGGACATAGCCCAACCTCCCTCGGAACTTCATAAGACTCTCATCGACAGCTATGTTTTCATCAGGTATGTACAGATGGGAAAACTTCCTGTTCATGTACTCAATAACGTACCTTAACTTCCACAGTTTATCATTCACAGGTTTCCTATTATTGTCTGTAAGGTGGAAAAATGTGGACAGTAGCAAAAAACGGCGGAATGGCATCACTTTACGAAAAAAAGGGGTCTCAGTTACAGCATTAGGCGACCAGTATGATTGTATAGTTCTTTTTTTTACTAGCGACATAAGGACACAAAGTGTATAAAAACAAGCCATCTCATCTGCAGTTGTGTCAAACCATTCTGAGTATATAGTTTTTCCTACCCCGCCTGCTTCGTTCTTTTTCTTAATTGTTTCTTTGGCATAATTATTAGTCTCTGTTGCAACATGTTGCCAAAAGTCATTATCAAGAAACGCATTGAAAACATCTAATTCAGAGGGAGCTGAGCCTAAACTTCTAGCCAAACTTGCTCTAACACCAGGACAACCAGTAAAAGGGATTTTATTTATTATATTACTTTCTATGGTACTGGTCCACTGCCAACCCTCCTTTTTCTTCTTTTTTGGTGGAGCTGTATCGTTACTAGTTTGAGTTTTGGACCTTTTAGTAGGCTTAGATGGTTGTGAAATAGCTTTTTTTCCTATAGGCCTACCTCTTCCTCTAGACCTGCCCCTAACAGGTTTACTTTTAGGCCTAGGGTCAGGAAAGCTAGGGTCGTCAGCTTCCTCACTCGGTGTAGGTGAGAGGGCAGGCACGATTGAAGATGCATGCTGGTCAAATAATTCAGGCCTAATAGGCAAATCTAAATCAGATTGGACATTTGGAGGGGTCATAGGCCTATGCCTGCCACTATCTATATCATTTATAGGCCTAGAGTCAGGGAAACCAGGGTCGTCAGCTTCCTCACTCGGTGTAGGCGAGAGAGAAGGCGCGCTCATACTACCGCGGTATAACCGATCAAGAAACTGGACTGATTTAGGCAATTCTTCATCACGTGATGGAGAAGATACATGCTGATCAAATATTTCAGGCCTACTAGACAAATCTGAATTATATTGGACAGTAAGGGCATCTGGAGGGGTCATAGGCCTAGCATAGCTGCAAGAAGGCTGTTCAAGCAACAACTGGTCACTTTCTAATGGCCTAGGCCTAACACAATTAGTATTATGTTCTGGGGAAACTGTGGTCTCATAATCAATAGGCGTATTAGACTTATTACTCACTTGAATATTGCTCCCTTCCAAATCATCATCATCACTCCAACCACTCTCCTCAAACAAGTCACAATCACTGTCACTGTCACAATCCCCTATAAGTTTTATGATGTCACTTTCATCTAACTCTTTTCCACATTCATCCACGAATACCAAGTTATTTTGAAGACTCATCGTATTATACAAAAGCTTTTCAATTGAATAATATAGTAAAACAAGATACTGTAGCTCAATCTTTATCACGACGAAGTGAAACACGACATGATAGGCCTAATAACTCAGTCATTATAACGACGAAAAAGTAAAATACTGATAAAAACTAACACTAAGTAAATTCTATAACTTATTTTATAAGATAACTACACTTTTCAATAAAATAATAAGGTAAAACAAGGCTCTAACACAATGTTTACATCGTCGAAGTAAACACAACAACGTATCAGCTGTGAAACCAGTGTAGACGTCGTCAGCTGCTAAGTTGCACCATTTCAACTTCAGTTTTTTTGCCGATTGGACTGGACTGAGATGACGAAAATATAACCAAAAGAAAGCCTGGAAATCATAGAACAAGAAGCATATGCGATCTATTGGATTTCTGGGGAACTAACTCGGCACAAACAGGTTTTAATAGCGGACGGCGATTCGCCGTCGCTTCACACAATGGCTAACGGGAGCGCGACGGCGGATCGCCGTCGTTGTAAGCGAAGGGGTTAAAACTTGGTAGAGAGGCTGCACTCAGGACTCACCCTAATTATACACACCTCTAAGTTATCTTTTCGAGAAATCTCATGGTGGATTTAACAAACTGTTAAAAATAAAAATAAACTAACTTATCATCATAAATTAATTGAGCGAAGCTCTTTGAGATCGGACCTTATGCAAACTATGTAATCAATTAACTCAATAACGGCTGAACATATTGAATCAAAACTTACCAGGGGTATTTCGACAAATATTTTTGATGTTTCGAAACAAACAAATTTCAATTTGATGATACCTGTACAATTTAAGACTGACATAAAATTTGCAATGTTTAATATGAGTCTTATGAGTTGCCATGATGGTTACGAGATAACAACGTAGATGTAAACAAAGAATCGTAGCGTATGCGACTCGACATTCTGTACCCACGGGCACCTCAGCTTGCACATGCACATATGGCCTATTTACAAAAGACAGTACAACAGAAAAGGAGTCCGATGAATACCATTAAGCGTTGATTAACAATACACCGATTCGCATAATTTCTGGCGGCCTTACTGAATTATTCCAAGCAGATTATTTCTTTTAATTGTTGTTATTGCTATTAGTTTTGTGGTAAATATTAGTCCGGAGTGTGGTAACTTTTTATGACGATTAGATTAAGGTATCTGTTATCCTAAAATGCTATGGGAAGGGAGGGAAACAGGACCGCGACGTAGGAAGTCGTGAAGGAAGCAGTAAAGATGAGCGGTCCGGAGTGTGGGAACTGTTTATGACGATTAGATTAAGGTATCTACAATCCTAAAATGCTATGGGAAGGGAAGGAAACAGGTCCACGACTAAGGAAATGGTGAAGGAAGTAGTAAAGGTGAGTAGTCCGGAGTGTGGGAAATGTTTATGACGATTAGATTAAGGTATCTACAATCCTAAAATGCTATGGGAAGGGAGGGAAACAGGACCGCGACGTAGGAAGTCGTGAAGGAAGCAGTAAAGATGAGCGGTCCGGAGTGTGGGAACTGTTTATGACGATTAGATTAAGGTATCTACAATCCTAAAATGCTATGGGAAGGGAAGGAAACAGGTCCACGACTAAGGAAATGGTGAAGGAAGTAGTAAAGGTGAGTAGTCCGGAGTGTGGGAAATGTTTATGACGATTAGATTAAGGTATCTACAATCCTAAAATGCTATGGGAAGGGAGGGAAACAGGACCGCGACGTAGGAAGTCGTGAAGGAAGCAGTAAAGATGAGCGGTCCGGAGTGTGGGAACTGTTTATGACGATTAGATTAAGGTATCTACAATCCTAAAATGCTATGGGAAGGGAAGGAAACAGGTCCACGACTAAGGAAATGGTGAAGGAAGTAGTAAAGGTGAGTAGTCCGGAGTGTGGGAAATGTTTATGACGATTAGATTAAGGTATCTACAATCCTAAAATGCTATGGGAAGGGAGGGAAACAGGACCGCGACGTAGGAAGTCGTGAAGGAAGCAGTAAAGATGAGCGGTCCGGAGTGTGGGAACTGTTTATGACGATTAGATTAAGGTATCTACAATCCTAAAATGCTATGGGAAGGGAAGGAAACAGGTCCACGACTTAGGAAATGGTGAAGGAAGTAGTAAAGGTGAGTAGTCCGGAGTGTGGGAACTATTAATGACGATTAGATTATGGTATCTGTTATCCTAAAATGCTATGGGAAGGGAGGAAAAACGTCGACGGCGTAGGAAGTGGTGAAGGAAGTAGTAAAGGCGAGTAGTCCGGAGTGTGGGAACTATTAATGACGATTAGATTAAGGTATCTGTTATCCTAAAATGCTATGGGAAGGGAGGGAAACAGGTCTGCGACGTAGGAAGTGCTGAAGGAAGTAGTAAAGGTGAGTGGTCCGGAGTGTGGGAACTGTTTATGACGATTAGATTAAGGTATCTACAATCTTAAAATGCTATGGGAAGGGAGGGAAACAGGTCCGCGACGTAGGAAGTGGTGAAGGAAGTAGGAGAGGTGGGTAGTCTGGAGAGTGGGAACTGTTTATGACGATTAGATTAAGGTATCTACAATCCTAAAATGTTTATATTTAATATATTTAACTATACTTGTTAACTTGTGTTGTCCAATTTATAACTTATAAGTGTGGAAATAATTTTCTCTGTGCAGATATACGGACACAGTTACAATTACACATGCCAATGTTGTAAATATATGTTCAGTAATTTATGTCTGTTTATTTAAATGTATATTTTTTTTATTTGAAAGTCTGACGCCATCAATCCCTTTTGGGTAAAAGATGAAGATAATAAGGTAATAATTACAAAAAGTAGAGCCTATACTGCTTGGCTTGTACGGGAGTCCAGTTATAAAGTAAGCGTGATATAATATTCCTATTTTTTTCCGTAATACTATAAGATGAATTATTACAGCTAACAGAACAGCATGTTGGCATTTTTTGTCAGGTTGAAAATTTAGTACAACCCTATAAATAGGCTTTAGGGTACATCAACACGGTGCATGTTCTCAAATTAAATTGCCATAGCCTAATATAAAAACGTCTTTTATATTTGATTTTAATAATTTTGTTGTACAGTAGTTTATTATGCATATACAGTATTTTACTTAATCATGCTGTAATTTAGCATGAGGAATAAATATATTCTTGTTTAATTCATCAATTCTCTATCCAGTGCTGTCTTTAAAATCTAATCTATTTATTAAATACAGTATGCCTATATTTTGGCAATGGGGCGGAGCTAGCGCAAACGTCACCAATTCAATGCCACAAGCGTTGCGGCAACCACCATCTTTTTCAGGGTATCATCAGCTCGTGAAATTAGCCACGCCTTATTTCCTGTGGTGACCATTGACTATGGTATTGCTATATATAGTCACCTTCTTCTGTCATTCTGTTCGCTGAGCAAAGTTTACTAATTGGCTAAATGTTTTAGTTGGAGAAAATGAGAAGGAAGCCTATAGGCCTATTACATAAATGGGAGCTAAACAAACATTAGGATATTGAAAAAATAATACTTATCTTTATGCTATTACAAACACAAAGTTTTACTATTACTCATATATACAATAAAAAATCAATGACCTAATAGAAACAGCTGACTGGATTCATATTTCCTTCAACTCTTCCAACCAACCACGAGAATTCAATTGGATTGTTGCTATAGTGACGTAATCATGTATTCAATTTGAATCATGAAAACAAATTAAAGTTATATGTTTATATCAAAGCTTGCTTACTCCGCTCAATTGGCGGACCTGAGGCCGCATGCCTAGTTATTTACACTGGTAAATTTCTATAATTTATACATTTTACTTTGGTTAGCAAATCAAACTAACTTACAGTTGAAAAACCAAGATTTTTCCCCATAGGAAATCCATCCTCTCGTTGGTTTTCCTCCCACTCTTTTTGGTCCTCTGTCTTGTTCAGTGCCACATGTAACTTAGGTCTGTCAACGTTGATTTTAAATTTTTCACAATTAAACAAAAACAATAGGATGGAGCTATGAATTTTCATTAACTTAAGTAATAAACCGAGAACACTGTACTGGGAGTTAGCACTGTAGCATTGTAAAGAGTTTTGAAAGGTCTAAAGCGGCCCACACACTAGGGCGCTTGTGCGCGCATATGTGACGCGCGAACAGCTCGACGCACATGCGCCTCAATGTGTGGGTAAATGTGCCCATGCTCGCGACGCGCATGCGAGGTGCCTGGTGCCTGCCGCCGGACCTTCGAGCATCGTCACAAGTGCGCGAGCTGGTTATGATGCGCGCCAGTCTGTAGGAAACCGAGGCACATGTTCGCGAACTAGCAGTACTAACCATAGCTGCATATACTGTAAATCGGGAACTACAAGGTCTGCGCCTGCGTGGCACAGAGTAACATTCACTGCCCCCCGTGTTGTGTTTTATTTGTCCTTGTTTGGTTATGGACTTCAGATGTCCTTTAATGACTTAAGAAAGTTTTGGTCTGAATTTATTGAGCTTTATAGATCACAAACGTGTTCTTGGGACGTGAAAAGTGTTAGCTATTCAAACAAATAAATGAGAAAAGATATTAAGGAGCTATTGATAACAAAATGCAAAGGAGTGCCACTGACGATTTAGTTTGTGAAGACTAAAATTAACTCTTTGAGAGCTTCATAACGATGGGAACCAATTAATTAGAACTAATTAAAATTATTAAAGCTAAGTCTATAACCCTTATACTCTAAAGTCTAATTTAGTCCAGTTTTTCTTGCAATTAAAAAAAATGTCCTTGTTAAAAAACACAAAATGAAAAACAAATAGTAAAAAATAACATGGTGAAGATACAATGGAGTTTATTAGAATGGTTTTAATATAACTGTTGGATTTGCTGTTATAGCCCACTATTATCATCGTCAAAGACGGTGGTGCGCGCGCATGTGTCTGTAGTGTGTGGTTACCATTTGAATCGCACATGTGCCTCGAGCCGCTCGCAGTCACCTCATCACGAGCCACGGAAGGCACATGCGCGCTAGTGTGTGGGCCGCTTAAGGTTCTTGAACAATGGAATGTCAACAGTAAGATAGGATCCCGGATATATTAAATTCACATGTAATATATCTAGGCATGGCTATATTGTGTGTGTGTTCGTTAGCGTGATAACTCAAGTAAAAATGATCTGATTTTGATGAAATTTGGTACAAATGTGTAAACTTACATTTAACTTAAGTTGAACAAGTTCACAAACCAGCAATCAGGACGAGTGTTTATGAAGGGTTTTATGGGGTAAAAACCAGTTTTTGCTATTTTTACTCTAAAAACATAAAATTTCACAACTTCTTTCCGAACAATGTTGTAGAGCTAAAAGAAAACTGTAGGCCTATAGGCCTAGGTATTGAAGTGTTTGTTGTATGCCTAAAAGTTAAGGATATAGGCCTAGGCTAATTACAAAAATTGTAAATTACAATCCCCATGTTATTCTTAAATGGAGAATAAATAAACGTAAGACATAAGACCATTTTATTTCCTTTAGAACCTAAATTAGTACATAAGGCATTGTAAAACGTCATTCTAATACATTATGAAATATACATCAAAAGATAATTTCTAAAAGAATTTGTAGTTGGTTTAGTTTGTCACTTTTTTATAACTTGATCTTTTCTGTTTAGGAAATCCCGCAATTTAAGTGAGAAAAAGAGGCGAGACCAATTCAATTTGCTTATAAACGAACTCTCTTCCATGGTTTCTACAAACAGCAGGAAAATGGACAAATCTACAGTTTTAAAATCAACAATATCGTTCCTAAAAAATCACAATGGTAAGATACATGGTTTTTAAGATTTGGTGAGTAGGTTTTCTGTGTCACAGACTGTGAAACTAAGGTAGCAATGTCATGGGTTTTTATACCGGTTGTCCGTAGTAGGCCTACTGTTGTATTTAACAACATAAAAAAATATAGCCTAGACTATTTTAATTAAAAAAAGTTTCTGCTTTTGACAAATTTTTAAAATGTTTTTTCTAAACATTTCAATTTTCAATTTAATATTCCAACTATGACTAACATGCTATAAGATAGCCTAATGCAGTAATTAACCGTTACTTTTACTTACAGATCTAGCTGTTAGATCAAGAGTGCATGAAATCCAAGAGGAATGGAAGCCAGCTTTTCTTTCAAATGAAGAATTTACTCACTTAATTTTGGAGGCACTAGACGGTTTTATCATGGTGTTCTCTTCTTCTGGAAGGATTCTTTATGCTTCTGAAAGTATCACAGCTCTTCTAGGACATCTTCCTGTAAGTGAAATCTTAAAAACATACATTTTACTAGAAATACACTTAACAAATAGGTCTAATAAAAGTAACTGCTTAAGGAGCGCAATGAATGGTAATATTTCCCTTGTGGAATGGATTAGCTTCCTATTCAAAGGTGTACGGTATACTTATAATCAATTTCACACTTTCCAAATACTCAATGTCTATTATCTTGTCATAAAATGTAAATGGATTAACTTATGTCTTACATGTTTAGTGTAGTAGAGTAGACTCATTTACACAAAATGGATTAACTGTGATGCAAATCAACCACAGCTACAAAACTGTTAAAATAAAAAAGTTAAAAGTACACAATACAGCAAAAGCAAATTAATATGTTACTATTCTGCTCCGCAGCTTTGAAATAGGCCTAGATATCAGATCCGAGATATAATAATCAAACTTATGATTTTTTATTGAGTATAACACAGTATCTTGATCTTAACCGATTCAAACAATCAATAACCCAAATTGAAGTCTATAGTTTACGGATTATTTTGAGTCTAAAACTTATAAAAAAACATAAACCATACTGGAGCTACTAATTGGTAATCATAGAAAATTCGCATAAAAATAATGTTCATGTTGGTTGTTCACCTTGCGTTTGCTTGAAACTCGTCCGATTTGAATAACTAATACCTTAAATGAAAGCCGGTATTTCAATGAAGGTTCTTAGACCAAACTATGTAGGATTATATAATTATAACTGGTGAAATACATCTAAAATTGAAGTAAGAATTCAAAATTAAATAAAATATGTTTCTTTTGGTCGAGTAATACAGTAGATAAATATATGCCGATGTTTGATATGAAATCTGTGCGCGTGCATACCTTCAATTTGAGACCTCAATCAAGAAAATCCGTCGGGTAGAAGAGCAAAACAAACTCGGAAAAGAAAAACCAAATTTAACTCCCAGAAGAAATACATGGGGAGCAAATTTTGTTCATGTACCAAGCCTAGTGTGACTGTACATAAATATATGCTGACGTTTGATGTGAAATCTGTGCGTGCATACCTTCAATTTGAGACCTCAATCATGAAAATCGGTCGGGTAGAAGACACAAACAAACTCGGAAAAGAAAAACAATATTTTTTTATGTAAGTTAGGTATAAGATTTCTTAAATGTGAGAAGGGCAATCATTTTGCAGGATGACTAGATATAGTTTTCTTGGTTTATTTCACTGTCTACCGATGAGTCTACCTTATATGAATTTCTACTGTAGGTACAAAAATTATACAAGGCAACTTTTCGCAAATTAATTTGTTAAGTCTGCTGAATTTGTCTGACAATTGTGTTTGGTGTTTTTACTTTAGGCTATTATTTTATTATCAGACAAATGTTTTTATTTCATTTATTCATTCCTTTTCCTAACTGAAACTCTTACTTCTTGTTTCAGAATGATCTGTTAAACATGACAATCTATGATGTTGTGTATGATGAGGACCAGTCACAGTTGTACAACATGTTTCTAAATCCTGTTACCAATGTTCTCTATGAGAATAATAAAGGTAAGCTAAGGCCCCTGTTAATATAGGCTATTTGTATTCTGTGTACCGTAATGATTTCACATAGGGTTGTAAACCGTAGTTCAACTAAGAGCCTCAGAGGCTACTTTATTTAAGAAATTGTCGTGAATATCTGCGTTACGATTTGTAAAAAAAATTGTTCCATTTGTCGAGTATTTTCTGGTAGCATATTAAACATTTTTACAATTACCCTATGCCCTATATTATCTAACCAACAATGGGCCAAGCTTAGCCTATTAAAGGATTCATCTTGTATTCCTAATGTAATCTATCTGTAACTCAATTCTATCATTTTCCAAAACACTTGTCTGGTTAACATGCTTTCATCGATGTTTAGAACAAATAATTTTTGTTTCAGATAATCAAGTAGCGTTTGTGTGCCATTGCAAGCGAGGTAGTCTAGACTTTTCAGAAGAAGTTACTTATGAGTTGGTCCGATTTGTCGGTTACTTTAGTAAGTATTTTCTTTTGTCATGTTTATAATTTATCATGCTTTCTCAGTTATTCAGGCACTGCAAAAACGATCATGAGATTCAATCTAGAGTATCATAAAATGAGTTTCTACTTTCTATTGATATTTTTTCCATCATCAAGGCCAAGTTAACGTTGCATTTCTGTTCTTAAAATAATGTACATAAATAGATACAATTTAAACATTATTATGTAATTTTAGGTTTCATTTTATCTGTGTAATATTTTTTAAGTGGTTTTTTTTTCGAACACAGGCGAAATTGATATATTACTTCAGGTTACACCTAAAGTTGGGGCAGAATATTTTTCAGGTTCTTTATTTACAACTGATTTCAAAACACAAATATATGAATCCTCCTAGGTCAAATAAATAGGTTAGGCTATGCAAGTTAAGTTAGAGAGAAAATGTTAAGATAAATTATAGAAGAAAATGGAGATAGCAAATATCTAAATCTGCTGTCCCCCCGTGATTGTTAAATGAACAAAATCTTTGATTCTTTAAAATTGATAAACTTAGTCCAAGTTTTTAATTTTTGTTGTTTGTTTGTAGGAGCAGACATGGAATCTTTGCAGATAGATGGAGGAGGGAATAACCGTTACAGTGGATACTCTGGTGAAGCTGACACAAGGTTTGTCAATTGATTCAATACTTTCAATGCTGCAAAGATATATCTCGGAAGGAATTCATGTCTCCACTCTCTTTTGTAACTGGAACAAGAAAATTTTGTTTTATTCACTGTTTATAAATTATGGAATTACGTTTTCAATGACAATGATTATTGGTAATATAACTTTTACGACATATTTCAGTTTTATTTTTTACTTTGTGTGTTCTCTCGCTACTGACATTTCATTTTTTCTGTAAAGAAATAATTTCAAACTCTTGTCTACTATTTATTCAACCTATTGTTAGATAGTATCGTTAATTGTTAGCCAAGTGAAAAATGGAAACTGGCTACACAATTAACCTCTCATTATAATACTATTTGAGATAGGGATGTAACTGGAATTATTTTAATCCAAATATGAGTTATGGCTTTTTTTAGCTTTTTTAACAACTACGACCTCCTCCTTCTTTATTGGCTGCATATTGTAGGTTATGTAGGGTATCCTGTGCGTCGTGGGCCTGTTTCCCTCTCATCCTAACATTTTAGGATTGCAGATACATTAATGTAATTGCCAAAGACAGTTCCCACACTCTGCACTGCAAGCCTCACTACTTCCTTCACCATTTCCCATGTCTTAGACCTGTTTCCTTCCCTTCTCAAAGCATTTAAGTATTAGATACATTTATCTAACTGCCCAAACAGTTCCCCTACTCTACACTGCCAGTCTTTACTACTTCCTTCACCACTTCCTACGTCGTGGGGCCTGTTTTTTCCCTTCTCATAGCATTTTAGGATTGAAGATACATTAATCTAACTGTCACAGACGGTTCTCACACTATGCTCATACTTTACTATACTTCCTACATTGTGGACCTGTTTTCATCACTTTCCATAGCATTTTAGTATTTTAGATACGCTAGCCTTTACTACTTCTTTCACTATTTTCTATGTCGAGGGCATGCTTCCATCCCTTCTCATAGCATTTCAGCATTGCAGATACATTAATCTAACTGCTTTTGTAAAATACTTGTGAGGTCATACATTTCAGAGTTGACAGGTACTTTAATTTCTTATTAAAAAACTTTTTTCAGATTGGTGTTTGTTGGAACTGGCCGTCTTCAGACCCCCCAGTTGATCAGAGAAATGTCCATTGTAGATTCATCTAAAAGTGAATTTACATCAAGGCATAGTCTAGAGTGGAAATTCCTATTCTTAGACCACAGGTGAGTAAAATTTAAAACAGGCTGCTTTGACATTTTTAAAAAAATTTGAAAGTTTAAACATCCAAATCCCAAAATAACTACTTTTCTGAGATTCTAGCTTATGAAATATTCTGTGTTGGTCTAGTAAATGAAAACTTAATAGAATATTTTCCTATTATTCTAGATGTAAGAATGGACTGCAAATAAATTGCTGTAAAAAAATATGTATGTGAATATAGATAGATAAAAGGTTGTTCAAGTCATTCAAGTAAATGATAATAAGTTGACTCATCAATCGTTTAATTGGTTTAGGACATAAAAGCTGCTATAGTTACAATTGGAGATTGTATTCCAAACAGCATACTCCCCCGGCGGCTCAATAGAACCTAGTTATTTTTTATTCTGAAACTACTTACAATTTAAGATGAGAATATAACTTTTACTACATGGTTGTGTCAAAGTCTAGGACTAAAGGATCTATACTCAAAGGTAAGGTATTCTGTCATCTGATAATTTGACACTTTCGATAATAGGCTAGGGCAATAAAAGTTAATACAAGTATTAAAGTCTTTGAATAAATGAATAAAAAATTGTTTCAGAGCTTCCCAAATAATTGGTTACCTTCCTTTTGAAGTGCTTGGGACTTCAGGATACGACTACTATCACGTGGACGATCTTGACAAAGTCATCATGTGCCATGAAGCTTGTAAGTTTGCTAAGTTACCTTCTTATTTTGTCCCCGTATGGGCTTGTTGTTTATGTTATTTGTAAAAACGGCTTTAATATGGGAAAAAGGTAGTGGTTTTAAGGGAAAACAGTCTTAAAGCTTTGAATTGGTGTGATAAGATAGAGAAACATTATTGTTTTATGTTCTTATCTAGGCCTATAGGGTTAAATATATTCAGTGTTGTCTGACCCTTGCTGGTTTAGGTGCAACGATCGAGACCACTGAATTTTGACATGTAATTTGTCTATTATCTGTGTCTTCTAAATAAGTTAACTGTAAAGTTATTATTATATCACTATACTGTACTCGATTGTGTATCAGTGCTCTTTTGAAAGGTGATAATGGTGGTAACATAGGAGGTAATATCATCAAAACAATATTGTGCTATTAGTGATGTGTCAAAACCAAATCTCAAATCTCAAAACCATCAAAACTTAGGAAAAGTTTCGGTTTCGAGATTCGATCACTAAGTTTCGAGATTCAAAAGTTTCGAAATTGAAGATTTTAGCAGTTTTATTTTTGAAACTGCTGACATTTATTTGTGCCATTGTTATTGTTTTTAACACTGTTTCAAAACAAGCTGGTAGCAACAGAGCAAACATCACCATTAACAGTAATGAAACAAGTAAATTTTATTCTGAACTTCAAAAGGTATATCATAAATACTATAGGGCCTAACTGGTACAATTCAGTTTCACATCAATATTTACTAAACACAAAGAATAAATATTGACCACTAAATGTTCTAATTAATCTAATATTCATGTTTATGTTGGTGTTAGAAGTTTAATTAATTTTTTTTGGTTTTTTTGGTTGTTTATAAAAAATTATGTTGTATTGGGTTTTAAGATTATCAGTCACATTCACAAACTGTATTTATGTTGTGTCACGGTCAGGAGGAGTCGATCTCTTTCAGTTTTGATTGCATACTTAACATTTTATGATTATGTGTATTTTTTGTAACCTTGACCTTTGTAACCAGCTAAGTAAAAAAGTTTCGCGTTTAGGGTTTTGAGATTCGAGATTCGGGATTTGATTTTTCAAAGTTTCGGTTTCGGTTTTGAGATTCGAAATTTCTGGTTTTGACCATCACTATATGCTATGTTGACGAATATTTGGATATTGTTTGTAGTAATGCAGAAAGGAGAGGGCACGTCTTGTTATTACCGGTTTCTGACCAAAGGCCAACAGTGGATTTGGCTACAGACCCGGTTCTACATCACTTATCATCAGTGGAACTCCAAACCCGAGTTTGTCGTCTGCACCCACAGAGTGATCAGGTAGCTTAAATGTTCAAATCAGATTTAGTTTTAAAATTTGTGAGGTTGCTTGCAGAGTTATCTTATCTTGTACCCAAAGTAGTTTTTAAAGTAAACCCCTAATGGTTGTTAGAAGTAATCTTTCTGTAACTAATGCCTACTAGCCACTTTAACACCACTTCTTAACTTTCTAGTTTCTAGTTGCTATCTCATTCAAAGAGAGTGAGTACTGATTGAATCCTGCATGATCAAATTGCTGAGGTCTGCACACTGCAAGGGCCACCCTTCATGTGTATTATAATTTGTTCAATTGTGCTTGTCTTTTATTACAAAAAACTTGTTTAATTTGGATTATTATTGTAATAAAAGTATATTAACTTTCAATTCAAAATCCTTAATTTAAAGTTGATTTAGAAACTATTTTTTGTTATTATTTATACAGATATTTTTTACAGGAACTCAGGGACCTGTAAACCAATAAATCAAAAACTGAGAATATAGTTAAAAAACTTAACTGAAACCAAAACCATTTAATTCTAAATTGAATTGACCCCTAACCACTGTTTTCATCTCACAATGTTGTTTTATCCGTTGCAGCCACATAAATGTAGTGAAGCAGTTACGGAAGGATCCAGACTCATCTGCAGAACAAAGTCAAGAAGCTCCATTCAGCAGAGAACCTCCGCGAGAGTCTTCACCCTGGGCATCCAATAGCAGATCACCTGGTAGGTATCTCTAGTAACTGGCCCAGAATGATGCACGAGGAACTTTTCTCACCGGATATTTGTAAGCAAACTTTTTGTAATCCGGTATTTTCAAAAATGTAAAGTTGTCAATCGTGCTGGAATAGAAAGCGTCTAGTGTAGTGAGCATCTAAAAGATAAATTTCAAATTTACCCCTACTTCTGAGTTTCTGACTGCCTGAGAAAGGATTAGGCCTATTAATTTGACGCCACAGGCTTCATGGTGCGACACGTGAGCCTGCCATTTACTGGTTTGTTTTTTCGGGCTCGCCCCTTTGAACCTCAACGGTTTTGTTCCGGAACTCTCCCCTGTCTTCTCCAGAATCTCCCGCGCTCACAGCTTCACTGCCTTGTCCCACACAATTTCAATTTCCATGAAGATAAGTTTACCGATATAAGGAATAGGTTAACATGTTAAGCTAGGAACAAATAACCAGGGGACAAGCCTAATGGCTTTCGCCCCTCCGCTGGAAAAATTTAAATTTGGGCAAATGTTTGGTCCGGATCCTAAAATGTTGACCGAACCCAATCCTCTCTAGTCAATTATTGCAACAACGTTGGTCAAGGAATGTAACTCCCCAGGAGAAGACTCTAGTCTCAGTTCAATTACCAGATGTATTTAAAAGTTATTGTTACATTCCATAAGCCAAAGAGCTAGTTTTTGCACCTAAGTACGAACACTAGTACTCCATTTCACCAACACTCTTACACCAACACAAATACACCACCAGATTACACCCACCATATGCTACCAACTAAACTCCTCCCTCACATGCATCAGTAAATCAAAGGATCAGCATCAAATTTAGTTAATAAATGTTTATCATTATGTTTTACTTAGTAGTTTGATATTGTTTGTGTGGCCAGGTAACAAAAACTCACAGCAGTATGACATGAAGAGGTTCCCCACCCCTAGCAGAGGTGGGGGAGAGTCTGATACTTCTTTGTCAGCTGACTCCGTGGCTTCCAGACACTCTCAGATCACTTCTCCAAGTGTGGTGAGTGGTGACATTGACTTTAGATGAGGCAAACTTTCAAAATTCAGTCCATTATTTTTATGAGTAAATTCCCAGATTTGGGATAAAAAAGAATCAGCACTAAACAGTTTTCACTTATTTCACCAGATTAATAATTATTTACTGACATAAATTTATTTTGCAGCTTTCCAGTAATTAAAAAAGTTGCGAACATTTATGAAAGCATTGAATCTCTTAAACATTAATGAAATTAGGTTTGGTTTCTGATTCACCTAAAATATAGCTTAAGTCCCAGTTTTATTGAATAGTCTCCTGAATTAGATTTGCAATGTTGCTAGATTTCTAGTAAAATTACAAATAATCTTTATGTTGAAACATTTTACTAAGGTGATACTAGCTAATTCGGTGCATACATTTCTATGAGATCTGTAAGCCAATATTTGTATACAGAGATCACGATGTGTGAGCACCACTGGCTCCAAGATGGCTGCTCCGACCACAAAGAGTACACCAGTGCCCGAGTTTATAGAGCCACCAGCCACATATGCAGTGACAGCCATTCCACTTCAACCTGTCGCCTTCGCTGCCCCCACCACCTTAGTCACCACAGTGCCCACGTCTGAGGTGGGCGACTTACACCTTAATGTGAGATCTAGGCCACAGCAGTAAAAACATTTGTATTGTTAAATAAAAAAACAAATAATCACAAAATGTGCATGTAAAAAAATTAGTAGAGTTGTATCTGTCTTGAGTTGGTAAGCCAAATTTGTTTGCATCATCCATCTTATCTCTGCATTCACCACTGGCTTCCCTGTATAACTTATTTTGTTATAGCTCTTAACTATCTTTAGATCACCACACATAGATCAGTCGCAGAAAGTTTAGTTTAAGCTCCTAGACAATATATATCACCCATTCCACATTCATAATTGATTCATACGTCTACCTTAAATTATGCCTGAGCCAAGTAGACACATGAGTAGTGGATTCCTGGATTCTTGTACTTTGAAAGTGACTCACCTTGTGTGTTTTAAAGCAAATATGGTTGAAAGATGAATGTTGAATGAGTTGCTTGAAGGCTTTGATTTTTTTGATCAACTTTTAGCTCAGGTTACTTTGTAAAGGGCTGACATTGTCAAAATTATTTCTTATCTTTTTGCTGGATTATAACTAACTAATTACCTTCAAATTAATTGATAAGCACTGCAATGACCCCCTCAGCTACACCCAGTTATATGTTAATTGTTGTTTGGTAATTACAGTACAGTAATTGTTATGTTTGTTTACAGGTACCTCTGAGACAACCCTTGGTAATGAGCTCCTCTCAGTCTCAGATTCAGGATCAGCTGCAGAAGAAGCATGAGCAGCTTCAGCAGCTGATAGTGCAGCAGCAGGAAGAGTTGAGGAGGGTCTCAGAACAGCTGTTCATGGCCAGATATGGTCTGCTGCAGCCTCTCATCAATGTGAGTTGAATGTTTTGATAAGTTTCTATTATAAAAAAAGTTTAGTACCTGCCTGAAACTAATAAAAAGGTTTGTGGGTTTGTGCATCCTATTCTCTTTCTTTTGAGGAGCGAGCTGGTTTAGTGTTAGAACGTGAGACTTTGATCCTTGAGGTCCTGGGTTCAAATCCCACCAATTACCAATGGATCTGATCAAAGTGATGATGCCGCAACCACTGGTCCTAGTCTAAAGTGATGTGTTGGGATCCTAAGATCTCTTGACGCTAACACATGTGCTGTGCTGGACAGGTGACCATGCCATACACAGTTCCTGCCACGGCACCACACCTCACTGTTGCTGCCACTACTCCGGCAGAGATATTTGTACCTGGACATCCTGTGCAGCGGCCACACATCATGATTGATCCTCATCAGGTAAGCGATAACAGCTGATTACGTAGGAAATTATTGTTTCCTCCATATAAAATTAAGAGATTGTGTAAATAGCAACTACTAAATTTCAAACAGCCTAAATTGTTGGGGACAATACTTCTTGTGTGATAGCATTTTGTTCACGGTTAGTGCTTTTTGTGCACGTTGTACACAAAAAGATTCCTGTTTAATGTTATACTATTTCCAATAAACTATCACCAACTTGAAGAAATGGGTTGGTCCTGAACATCATACATTATTCCATCTTGTTTTGAAAATTTTGAATCAAACTCATAAATTTGAGTATGATTTCAAAGATTTTGAATCCAATTACCTCTGCTGTTCATCAACTTAGACAACCCTAAATGTTGAGCTGTGCTCTAATTTGTTGATGTTTGTGTCAACAATGCTAACAAATCACGTTGACTAGTAGGTACTGAATATGAAGTAATGGAACAAATAAGCTTAGAATGAGAGATGTGTGCAATAAATGCATAAATGTCATAATATCATGGCATCAACTGAAACGGGGATTTTGAATGGTAACTTTATGGTGTGTACAGTACTAAAAAGTATTCTACGCGTTTTAAATTTGGTTGTTTATTATTATATTATTTAAAAAAATAACTCAAACTAAACCTAATTTTGTTCTTAACATAGTTATCTATAATATTAAAACGAAACAATGTTTTTTTATTTCACGATTCTGAATCAACCACTTGACGGATTTTCATGATTTTTGTGTTGAAAGAAAAATAATTTTGAGAACTAGGGAATGTCGAAGCCATAAATTTAGTTTAGAGTCCCAGTTTTTTAGAAATTAAGTTTTAATTTTTAAAAAGTCTAGCAGCCGACGTTAAGATTCTAAACTAGCTTTTGGCATAAAATAATTTGCTTAACATAACAGCTGTAAACATTCAGCTTTTGTGTCAAAAATTCAGCATTTGGATAAAAATGTAAAGACATTCTTAGGGTTGACTTATTTATACTATGTGTAATGCAAATCATTGATACGTTCAATTCTTCTGTAAGAGGATGATAGATTAATTAAATTATACATAGTAAAATACTAGGATGTTAAAATTATTTTTTTAAAGCAATTTTTGTAATCTTCGATTTGTTTTAGAGCAATATAATTTGTTTTAACTAACAGCTGGTGAAATATAAACTATGGAACTATGAGGTTATTTTATTTACTCTTATTTTGTCATTGATTATAGGAAATAAGTAAGATTAGTAGAGATAATTAGATCACAGTTTAAAATAGTTTAGACTAAAATTAATTAAACCACATTACAAATCGAGGCTCTGTACACGAGTCTTAATAAAAAAGGATAAATGCAAATTATTTTACTATTCCACTTTTCGAGGAAAGAATAGAAAAATAACAATGTTTACATGTTTTAATTCTTCATGGTAGCTTTTTGTTTGCAATTAATGTTTGTCTGCTTTAACTTTGTTTGGATTAGGCCCGGAAATATTGATGTCATAAAAAGAAGATCAATAATAATCATGAATCACGATTTTAAATTACCACCACAACCTCAGCCGGGTTTTATAAAAAGATAAACAGATGGATGACATAGATTGAACAGAACGTCAACATTGACCTAGGATACCTACTGCAATTACACAAACCATCCTTTTATGAAATCGTGTTCAGTTGTGGTTACGTTTGGGGGTGCCTATATCAGCGCCCCCAAACGTGAAAATATAACTTAATTTCAACTATGAATATATCGTAGTTTAAATTAACTAATATGGGAAATTACGGTGTACATTAATTCAATGAGGGTGGGTAATTATCAAGGATGGAACTGATAACGGTATGGATAATAAACCTTGACAATTACGTCATTAGCTTTACTAGCGTGTTTACTTTTTATATTCCTGCTACATGTGACCAGTTCTTTTTTTAAATGAATGTTATTTGAACCAAACAGCTGTTTCAAAACAAACTGTTATTGTTTTTACTTTTCTTTGTTTACACTTATTTATTTAGCAATTAATGCAGTGAAATTGATATAAAGGATAGGTGTGACGATTAGTTTTGATGTTAGGACACCAAAGTTAAATTAAGTGTACTATGAATTTTATTGGATATTATCGTTTTATTTTAGGTTGTTTCTATTCAGACCTACTGGAAATTATTGTGTATAGTACAGTAGTTGTATTGTGGTGATAATAAATATGGAAGAGGCAGGTACTGTATGCTATGGAAGGTGGTATCGTTGACTAGGTCTATACACTTCCCAATTGACTATTACTCTCTCTACTGTAGGCTACTTATAATCAGTGTGCGTCTGTGCGAATAGGCTGCTAATCTTACTTCAACGCTTTTCACACCGTAAAAATTGCAGAATTTGTGTTTTATTGTAAAATTATCGGATTTAAAATGCATATCGTATAGGCCTATGATGGAATAAAAACATATTTGGTCACACAAAATTTGTTTACAAGATGGTTTTTCACATTAAAACTGCAAGAAACTTTGTCTTTATATGTGTAAACTAGCTGATCTGAATTGTACACGGTTTTAACTGACTACTGAATTCCCGTACCTAGGACGGGCTAACACCTCGTTTCAAAGTAAAGTATAAATGAATTTAATCAGAGGACTAGTGTGCAGTTCTACAATGAAAAATACTGTACAAGAATTAATTGGCTTTTATATCAATAATTCATCACTGGTATATCGCCACGATGAACATTGTATGTTAAATACACTAGATCTAACCTAAGCTGACTCCTAGGTAAACTATCAGCAAGCGCAGTCATCTGATGAAGCAATGCAGCACTTTCAGTTTCCTGTGCAGCAAGCGCAGCAACTATTGTTCTCTCAGAATCTGGACTCTCCCAACTCAACCCAACACAGTCAATAAACTAGCGGTGCAAGGGCAAACTTAAGTTATCTAAACATTCAGACATTTTGAAAAGTGTAGTAGCCAGCGGAGAACATAGTATGGGCCAATATGACAACTTTTCACTCTACATATAGTTTTCATCATAATATTACTGAATTACTGTAATTAGATTGTAATATCTCCACCATAGACTAATTTCAATCTGTCTTAGTAGGATTTGTCATGTGATTTGTGGGTTTTAAGTTCAGTTGTAAAATATTTTTACATAAGGGCCAAAATGAAATAACATAGACGTTATTTTTGAAACTATTACAATACAAGTGCTAGAAATATGAATGCATTTCCAACAAAACAGGGTATTAGACAATAATTACTTGATGGTATATTTATTTTCTAAATAGACTACTGAAGAAAGCGTTGCTGTAATATTTTTATGAACTACATTTTTATGTGCGTATTCCAACAGCTAAACAGAGAAACTATTTTTCTAAACATATACTGTAGAAAATAAATCTAATATATCTAAGAGAAGAAAGTATATCTTATTTGAGCTATTCTTTCTTATATCTTAAAAGATGAAAGTATATCTTATTTGAGCTGTTTAATATACTTATTATATAGGTAAAAAAATATATAAATGTGAAACTTTTAGGCTGGTTGAAACATTTTAAATATCGAGCTACCAGCCACTTTTTACTCTGAGGTTGGAGTTTAAAAAATTATCATCTAACTTGTGGTAAAAAAAAACCTAATGGGAGAACCTTTTAATGTATTAAGTTATGTACATTTTATCTCTCTCTTTGGGATTTTTAATACAGACAATTCATTAGAGTTGATTAATTTGTACATCTGTATTTGTGGCTTATTTTTAAAAAAATTTGAAAAGATTTAGTGAGAGCAAAAAGAAAACACATTGAACTAAGAAGATTAGTTTATTGCCTGTTACTTAATTATAATCTTTATCATTCAACTATAGGCCTACTAACTGTGGTATGAATGAATACAAAATAGATTTTTTCCCTGAAAAGAATTAATGTTTCTCAAGTACACCATTTCTCAATGTTGTAAAATATGTAATAATGTAGATGTACGTAATTTCATATACGTAACACATAATTTGACCTCACAATGATTCTTTATTTGTTATTTTGTATATTTTAGATCATCATTTGATTGAATGTGGCTGTCTAAGTTCATGCCTGCTTTTGGTGTAAATATGTATGTGTGTTGTTAGTTAATTATAATCTTTAGATTAATTTGTAGGTATTGTTGTACACCAACAATTATAGGTGTTTAGTTGTTTGTGAAAGAGTGTTTTACAGTCAAACCTTGATATAATGAATTCCTTGATGTAAAAGACCTCAATATAACAAATTGTCATTGTAACCAATTTGTAAAATCCCTGTGAACTGCCTATAAGAATATACAATCTTTACTACAAACAAACAAATGTTTCAAAACTCTAACCAGTTAAGTTTATCTCTATATATTTTTTAAATATAAACCTTCCATTTTGGAAATCATCCTTTCTGAAGCAAACATTCCAGTATTTTATTTTGTATTTGTATGTTATAGCAATTTACAAAAATCAACTTTGTGTCTTGAACCGTATCAGATTACCTTTGTTGTTGTAGCCTCTAGTTCTTCAGTAGGTAATATTTATGTATCACATAAAAAATAATAATGTGAACCTCTTTTAGTAAAGTATTGTCTAACCCTTTTAAATACAACGAATGTCAATGTAAAAAATCCTTGATATAAAGAACTATGTTGTCAAGTCCATTCAAAAATTTCAAGGTTTGACTGTGTTCAATGTTATAGTTAAGTTATTCGCTTGATCTATCAATCCTTCACAAATTTCCCTGCAGAGTAACTGTTGATCTCTTTAACTTAGGAAATCATCAATTTGAGGTTATGTTTGACAATCCACTAATACAGTTTTTAATGTAACTTTTTGTCCTGTTTAATTTTTATTAATTGATTTTAAATGTGTTGGTGTAATCTTTTTTGTATCACATAAAATCAAATAAATACAAACTCTTAATTGACCATTCTGTTCCTGAAAAGTATGATAAATAAATGTGTGTTTAAAATGTTATTGTGTACATGTTGGTGTGATATTGAATTGGTGGTCATTAATTCAATTGATTTATTTAAAGTGATTGTATTCTACAGCAGAAATGTGGTAATACAGATTTCCACATTAATTCAAATATCAGTAAGTAAAGAACATAAAATATATGTTCGCTGTTTATAATTATTTAATATATCGTTAACTATATTTAAAAAATGGTATTTATTTGTAAAACAATTTTGTTAACGAATTAAATACTTTTTGCCGATTGAATATACTTAGGGCCGCTTTCCCCAAATCAAGTTTAACTTAATCTCGGTTAACTTTAATCTGTGGGTTAAACTTAGGATGGCTTTCCCCACTATTTTGTCATGAAAGTTTAGTTTAACCTAGCTTTTCTTTGCAAGCAACAATGTTGGCAACACTGTTATGCAATTTTATCTGCAATATTAGCTGTTTAACTTCCCACTATGACATATCTGTCATTAATTTTCTCGTGTTTTGGTTATTTGTATTAGGTTTCGTGTCATTGTCTCCAATTGTTGACATTAAAAAGAAACATTTTTATTTGCAGGCTAATAAATTGTACTGATGCTAATTTATAAGCATTTCATTTATTGTGTTTATTTAAGCTCAAACTTAATTAAACAGTAGGCCTACTGTACGCATCAAATAAAAGCATTTACAATCATGGGAAAATAAAATGTTGGGAAAGACGCAAAATTAATGTTTGTGGATTAAAAACTAGAGCCTATCCTTTGTAATAGCAGGCCTAGGCTACTCAGCATTAAGACACGTTCGATGTTTCTAAACTAAATTTAATTTTAGGCGTACTGCAGTAGTTGTTAATTTACACATGATAATAATAGACTAGTGGTTAGGCCCGAATGTTTAATATTTACTTTTGTGTAATATAAGACTCGTGTTAAAATAAAATCAAACCAAAAGGCTTCTTATGAGCAAACTTTCCAACCACTGTTGCGTTGCTGTGGACAAGGTAACCTATCGATTGTACACAACTACGATACTACCTACCGAAAATATAATAATTTAGGCCTACTCTACGCATTTAAAAACCTTAAAACCATTACTGTATATCTGTAGCCTTATATCTTTAAATTTGAAATAGTCATCAATTAATTGTCTACATAGGTTCTGGTTTGTTATTTTTAATTTATTTCCAGTTCAATTTATTTTAGGTTATGTTTAACGAATGTCAAACAAGGATATTTGCCATTGCCGTCTGCCGAACGTAACAAGTCAGCCAAGAGCCAATCAAAATCAAGCTATTATTCTTCTCTCCTGGGTTAACCCACGGATCGCCAGTTAAACCAGCCTCACCCCTAGGGTTAACTTAAACCTAGTTTAAACGGAGAAATTATTTTGGGGAAAGCGAATCTGAGGTTAAACTAGAGTTTAAACCGCGATCAGAGTTAAACTTGATTTGGGGAAAGCGGCCCTTAGAGGATAGTTTGTAATCTTTACAAAATATGTGTGCACTCTACTTTTATCTTATGCTTTCAAAATGTATATTTTCATTACACCTATTAAAATATTTTTTCGATAAAACTAATCTAGGTAACACACAAGGTTGTAAAGACGTTTTTAGTCATCTGCTAGTTACCAGTTGTGTGATTTATAAGTTAGTTCCAATATGCAAATCTTACCCCATCCTAATAGATTATTATTAATATGTTCTGTAAGGGTGTGTGTTTTTGCCTTTTAGTGATTTTAAAGTGAAATAAAACGAAAAAATAAAGTTAAAATCTTCTGTCGTGACCTTTTGGCAAATTTCCCATTTAGGGAATAAGCTATTTTTATTTTATATGCCGCTTTTGTGCCATTAGTGTTTAACAGTCATTCTAAATTCTAGGTACATAATTACAATTAAAAACCTCCCTATATTATATTTGTTCTTTAAAAAATTCCAGTAGGCCTATTGCAAATTTAAATTTTGTTTGTTTTCTAACATTTTAGTAAATTTCTACTCTTATTCTTTCTAGATTTGTTCTTTTAATCTTGATCATGCATTTCTATACATATATTTCTGTGATATGGACATTTTGTGATGCCTTGCGATCATTCCATAAGTCAATTGTAATTACTATGTAGAATATGAATATGAACATGCCATTGTAAGTTACCTGAATTTATAATGTAAACCAATGGAATGATGTATGTAATAACAAGAAACCATCTTTACCCTTTGCTCCACACAGGTTTTTCATTTGTGCAAAACTTTTATTCTTTATTCTGGATAGTGTATCTTAAAAATATAATTGTATTTACCAATTTTATTGTAATCGTATAATTTAAGAAACTGTGCTCCATTACTTTTATGTTGATGTAAACGTTAGGTATTATTAGTAAATGTGTAAATTGTTGTTATAATTTATAGTTTGGTTAGTTCATTGATTATTTTTAAATGTTTAAGAAATATATGTTATAAATTGTGTTATACTTTTTGAATTAAAGTTTATTTGAATGTCTTATCATAAGAGGACAATTCTTAAAAATGCCTTACACGATTGACTTTGGATCTGCAGGTAGATATCTCATCCTTTTTAGCTATAGAAAACAGATCAAATTCTTTAAACACTGAAAAATGTGATTTAAGAAAATAAAAACCTGTACTTGGTGCTATTAGTCATGTTTAATTGTTCATGACGATAAATAAAAAAAATCACTCGTAAATAATTCAAGAGTTTTAGGCTTACAGTTTTTAGTTACAACACTTCTGTCCAATATGTACAATCCTAAAGACATTGTCAAGGAATAAGCAAAGTCACATGTAATTAAATTAATTATTTTAATTAAAAGTAAAACTTACACAGACTAAATAACAATAGTCTAACATATACACAATCAGGTACTAATACTAAGGATTACATTCCTATCTTCTGCACAACATCACTTAGGAAGTTGATGTCATGGGAAAGCTCATGGAAGAGTTCCTGTATTTGAGGTTTGGAGTCGAGGATCTCAACGCTCTGAGTGTACGGGTTGTATCTCACACCAAAGTCTCTGGGTATCGTTTGAGCATACTTACTGTAACATAAGAAATGTTGGTTGACTGTTTAGTTTACAATGTATGAAATGAGAAGGAATATACCATGAATAGTCTTATTGTGTGTTAGAAAAATATCTGTTACAAAAAGGACCTCTTCTGGACCAGTTACATTTGCTACATTTTGTTTCGCTACCTAATTATATTATGATTTTACAATTATTGTAAAATTTCTTTCCTATCATTTTATTTTATATGATTTTAAACATTAATTTTGACAAAAAGTGTTTAAGATAATCGATTGGAAAATGAAGCAATGAAGTAAAAAAAAAAAACAAAAAAACTAGTGGATAAACAATGACAAGGAATGCAGCCTATTTTTAGTGAATTTTACACGTAGAGAATAAAGTAATTGTTTATAATAACTGTAGTTTCATGGTAAAACCTTGATCATCTGGAACCGGTACTGATTTACATTTTTGTTTTGATGTCCTCAGCAGGGCCGTAAACACAAAAGCAGGCCCCCCCATAATCCTAGTGCGGGTGGGCAGTAGTTAGACGGCGCCACTCAACCACTGGCGCCCCTGGGCATATTCCCAGTCTGCCCGTTTATAAAAGCGTCCTCACAGGCCAAAAACATCATCCGTTCAAAATCATATACTATATGTATATATGGCCATTAGCATTATAAACTCTTGTAAAAATCATCCAATTTTGATGAATTTTGGTACAAATATGTAAAACCACATTCAAACGAATTTGCGAACCAGCATGATCGAATTACCGGAACGGGGTTTATGGGAGACCAGATATCTGGCCACTGGATGAACCTTTGTATTCAAAGTTAAAACTTGCGTCACATCTGTACTTAATTTTCACATTCACATTTAAAAAAAAACTCTATACTACAAACTACTTACATCATTTTCTCCTTGGCATCATCAAAGCTCTCTGCCACGTAGTAGATAGGCTGGTACTCTGTGATGGGGTAGGCCTGCAGCGCCGTCTTGGGAGGGTCGAAGGGTCGCAGTTCAGGCTTGTCACTCAGGCAATACTTGAGCTCACCAAAAGAGGAGAGTAAACCAGCTCCAAACGCCTTCACTTGTCCATCTTGGCGGCACAGGCCGAACTCAACTGTGAACCAGTAGCACTGGACAGAAGATTGGGGAATTTTAGGAAAACAACAGTCCTTAGAGGTAAGAAAACCATTAAAACCTAGGCTACTCAGTTTTTAAAAGTTGATTCTTGAGAATTGATTCTACTGAAACTGAAATTATCCTAGATCCATACAATCAGGGAAACGAAACGCATCAGATGTGCTACTCCCTAACTCAGTGATTATTACCTGAGTGAATTATTAATTTTGTTCTTGTTTGAGCTAGATTCTTTGAATATTTTAACTTTTCCTTTTTTTGTAACTAAGGTTTCTAAACTAGAAGAGCAAAGGAAGCTAGTGTTGTTCCTTGGCAAACCACCTAACACAGTGAAATCTATCTCTAAATAATACTATTGAAGTTCAATTGAGTATGTTAAGGGTGTAAGATAACTTAAACTGTTAATTGCTTTTAATAGTTAGTAAGTACAACAAGTTTACGGTAACAAAATCAAGGTTATGAGGATTTGCTGCTATAAACTTTTAAATATACCAGTTGTAGAAAAAGAATACCAACGGACATTGTTTTGGAGCATTTGTAGTGCTTCAGAGCTTGCTTTCAAAATTGAAAGCTGCTGGTCCAATCCCAAGCAGAACAATTCTGAATCAGAAACAATTTGTTGTTGGACTAACGATTAATGATCATCTGACAAAAAGTTTACATTAGGTACCGTACATAGTATGAAGGCCAAGATTTGAACCATTCCATGCTCACAAAAATTTGAAAAAAGTGTAAACAGCATTTAAAAACACTAACAAAATACTTAAATACTTACTGTGGCCAGCTTCTCAACGTAGTCGTCAGGAGCCCCGAGGGAGGCTAGGCCGATCTCCTGGGAGAACTGAGCGAACACAGGGTCGGCAAACAGAGGAACATGACCGAGCAGTTCATGACACACGTCGGGCTCCGGGGTGTAGAGGGGCATGCTGGGGTGGCGGATGTACTGCGTGGAGTGGAACACACGGAACGCCAGACCAGCGAGAAAGTCTCTAGAGGACAGTAGACCTGCCACCGGCCTCAGCGTGAATCCTGTACTGTCTGTGGGAATTGTGTGGTTAGATTGGTAACCGTTGAAATAGTTATAACTCGATCTTAGTAAATCGTAATGCTAAGGATGTTCTAAGGATTGTGAATAGTCAGGTTTTCATTTGACCCTAAATTAACTGTTTGAACATTGACTATGGAAACAAAATATTTTCTGGTAATAATTTATATATTGGAAAATATATTTAAATATTGAAAGAATGAATAAATAGTAGGGGTTAAATAATGTTTTGCATGTGTAAGTATCTTGTGCATTCATCCTACTACCTAGTCCAGTTACTTAGCGCTTTGCTACAAACTTTTACTTCTCAAAGAAACAGCTCTGATACATGAAAATTAGTATTAGATCGCAACAGTAGTTACGCTAATTGCTTCTCCTTTTACTGTAACTTAAAATTTGTACTACCAAATCTTGGTAGTTTCGTGTTACTTTGCACCATTAATATTTCTAATAAAACAAAAAAAATTAATTTTACCTTTTAAGAAGTTGGAGATGTCCTCCAGTTGTGGGATGTTGTCCTCGCGGTATCCACAGTTCTCTATCAGTAGAGGGAACACATGGTTGAACTCCTTACACGCGTGAGTGGGGTACAGGTCTACCAACTGTCTGAACACTTTGCCCCACGTGTCTGTCTCCTCGGCCGTGTAGTCGACTCTAGGAAGCTGTTCACCACTAGACAATACATGTCCATCTCAAGTATAATACAAATACATTGTTGACACAGGTATGTGCATTGTGCAGGGCTTCAGTATAGAAGTAGTGCCTTTAGATGAATTGAGTCTTACGGGTCAGACCTTCATTAAGTACCAAGTACAATAATTTATCAGGATATAAATTGCCTTTTAAATACTACCATGAAAATGTTGTGGGTTCAGGACATCTCTTTCTAGTGGTGTACTATCCCACATGACAGGTAAATTCAAAGGGGAAACACAAAAATATAATATGTACTAACTTTTTAGAACACTTTAAAAAACACAAGACATGGTTTACGAATTTATGCAAAATTTTGCTAAATGAATATTTGACTACCTACCTACAACACTATACCTATTAATGTTAAGTGGTGTATTTTGCTTTTTGAATACTAGTACAACATTTTTGATTAGTCTTGGATTGAACTTTACTGTAGCTTATTGGTTGTGTTGAGAAAAATTTGGTTGAAAAAAAGTCAAAGGTGCTTATTTTAATTACTTTTTTGGTTGAGTAGGTAAGTAAGTTTATAATGTGATAAACAATGTCTCAATCTTTTCAGCTGTAATTATTATGTTGGTTGAAAGGTGTAGGTTAATTTTGAATGTATTACTTTTACTTACTCTATGGTATAAAATCACTTACTGTTTGTAGTTGTAAGCGAGATCAGCAAAATACTTTCTTCTTGCTCTATAGACAGGGTCAGTGAAGCCTGGATGGTCAGCATCAAGCTCAGAACCATAGGAGAGGATTTGGTTGGCAAACCTGTCCAGTTCACGTATTCTGTGAGGAAACCATGGTACGGTTCCTGAAACCATTCAACTGGTTGTAAAAACAGGCTCGAAAATATTGCTAATGAATACATGGCAGTAGGAAGAAATCTGTATATATGTACTATGGTGTTCCAAGGGGTTTGGAGGAAAAGGCGTTCCTCCACAAACAAGTTAATGTAAAAAGTTTAACTTTAATGTAAAAATATAACTTTTGACTGTCAAATCCAAAATCACCCTTATGAAAAAACCTTTTACGCCACACTACATTATTTTGACGAACTTCCCACGCAAGTATTTAGTCCAGAAAACAGCTGTTTGCCGCCAGCTTATTCAAATGGGGTTTCATTGCGTACTACTGTGCTGCAATGAGTTTTACCGGACACCAATCAGCTGATTGTACTGTATTTAGTATTTAGGTGGCAATGAATGGTTATAAACAAAAACATAACCTCTCAATGACTAGTGATTTTTAGTCCTTTAGTTGGTGGAAATATATAAGGATTTGTACAGATTTAGTAGTATGGCGTAAACTATCGTACGTCACTCGTCCAAAATGTGTGTACCGGACTCGTATGGTAATCCCGTACTCGACTTCGTCTCGCACGGGAACGACCACACTCGTCCGGTAAACACTTATTTTCAGGACTAGTAACGTAATATACTATTACCTACGACCGTTTTTTAAAGTAGCCATTTCAGTCCAGTTCTTAGAATTGAAAAGTTTCACTTTACAGCTGTTTACTTTCATATCCGCATAGTTTCATTTCATATCC